TCTCTCTCTCTTTATATATATATATATATATATATATATTGTGCGTGTTTTTAGGCAGCATTTTTTTCATTAATGTATGTTTCATTAAATAATCTAGACAAGTTTTGTCGATTTATTTTAAGTAAATTCCATTAATATTGTTGACTAAGCTTTTTAGCATTATCACTGAAACACGAAAGAAAATCATATTGATACATGTTTTGATTGTTAATCCTGTCTAAGCTTTCGGCTTACATAAGTCATCATCAGAGATTACAAGTACATTACAATAAATTAAATAACGAAATGGTAATGAATTTATCAATTTAATATATATATATTGTCATCCGCAGACCGACTGTTTCGCAGCTCATCAGTGTGGCTAGACGTCCGGTTGCCTCTAGCTAGGATCGAAACCCGATTAAATTATGATCAGTCGGGCATTCTAGCACTAAGCCTTTGACGCACGGCAGGGATGAAGGTGAATTTATTTTTTGATAAACTCACAGTGACTGAGAGAACTTCTAATTCTACAATATATATATATAATTACACACTCACACACACACACACACACACACACATATATATATATATATATATATATATATATATATATATATATATATATATATATATATATAGATAGTAGAATTACATTCGTCATTGTCTGACGGGAAATGTAATCATTGTGTATTTAGGCAGCAATACTCATTTAAATGGTGTATGAACTAAGTCTTTTTATAGTATTGATATGTCCCGGAAAGGGATATATTTGATCGAAGTAGCTAAGTGGTTTTGGCTACTGTAACCAGATAGAATACGGTAGCAGTAATCGACTGGTACTCGTCGTAGTCCCAGATAATAAATGTGGACCAATATAACAGCCAATGGCGTAGTCCAATGGGTGTCGTCATAGACTCTGTCGTACCGACACGCCCGTCTGTATTTATGACGGACACCAGCCAATCATATTCCAGTGAGGGGAAACTCAGGTGTATACATATTCCATTATATCAGTAAGTCTTTGAATTTTTGATTCGTCTATTTATTGTTAATACTTTATTCTTTAATATTGATGAGTTCTCTTTTCTGTTTTTTACGTGTATGCATTGAATGAAGATTGATTTTAATTTACGGCTTATCAACCCTTTGCAGGTTATTTAAAGCCAGAAAATATTTTTAGATTGTAAGAATTTTTTTCATAAGAGAAGTAATCCCTCATAGATTTAAATAAGGTGAGTTACCGCCCTTTCCACCAGTGATGGGACAAGACACCTATAAATAAATACACCTCGACAATTATTATATGGCTTGAGGTCTATTTTAAACTATATTATGATATCTGTTAATAAATTTAATTGTAAATCAATTAATTCTCAAAGCGGAATATATTTGAAAAATTCAGAGTTGGAAGGTAAGTGAGATGTCCCGGAAAGGGATATATTTGATCGAAGTAGGTAAGTAGTTTTGGGCTACTATAACCAAGTAGAATACGGTAGCAGTAATCGACTGGTACTCGTCGTAGTCGCAGGTAAGAAGTGTAGACCAATAGGATAGTCAATGGCGTAGTCCAATGGGCGTTGTCATAGACTTAAACTCTGTCGTATCTACACGTCCGTCTGTATTTATGACGGACACCAGCCAATCATATTCCTTTGAGAGAGAACTCAGGTGTGTGCATATTCCATTATATCAAATATCTCATTATGTTTATGGATTTCAGTCTTTAAATGTTAGTATTCATTATTTTTTTTTTTTTTTGACGTAAAACATGTTGTTGTTTTTTTTTTCTGAATATTGTAGTGTTACTTTCCTTGTTGGATGCTGAGTCAAGTAATAATTATCCCCAACAATAAAACAGACAGAAACATATACATAAAACTGCTTACCCACTCCATAAAATCCACTAACCAAAACAACTTATCCCATCTAAGAAGCATCAAAATAGTAACAAACTTGTGACGAATGCAGCTATCGTTTTTTTTGTGTTTTTTTGCATGCTATCATGCTAGTTAACATTCGTGTCAGTCATCTGTTGGCTCTCACTCTGGCCAGTACAAAATGGTCGCAAACTACATCAAAACTGCCGTAGAAGCATGAAAAAATATAGAATACCTTAAAATTTATTTATATATGTGTGTGTTTGTGTGTGTGTTTCGGCACCTATATATATATATATATATATATATAATTATTTTTTATTAAAAAAATTATAACATAAGTATGTTATAAAATCACTACAAAAATAGCCATTTTGTTTCAACACACTCTGTGTCTTATCAAGTGATGATGTTGAAAAGAAAAAAATGTTTTATTTTCAACATCATCACTTGATATGACACAGATTTGGATTTGTGTCGCTACAATACATTTTGTTAAATTATTAATATTTTATATGAGAAACATTTTAATTTGTTTTCGCCATTAACCCCTCAGTAAACTTTTGAGATTGCTAAAATTTTCAACTAAGTTATTTTTCTTTTTATGTGCCGTGTCTCTTCAGATCGTAGGATATGAA